CCCCAAAACCCCAAAACCCCAAAACCCCGATATTTTGTGAAAATATTTGTAATGAAATCAAAATGAACATTTATAACTTAATATATTTATATCAATAGATTTAATTTATTGGCTAATCTTGTTGGATCAGTATTCACTGCCGTAATCTTGAGCTTCTTCTTTTTCGTTAGACTCCTCCTAGTCTTGTTCCTCCATTCCACTGCTATCGAACTATTTACTTTCACTAAGTTAAGCGTTTCCCAGCCTAGCTTTGATTTAATCTCTTAAGAATTACTTATCCTTACCCTAGCCAGTAAGGCCTGACACATTATTGCTCTTTCTAGCCATTATTTCACTTGATTAATTTATTGAATCTTAGCCATAGGCTACTGAGTTGCCTCCTAGTACTAGGTTAGGTCTATTTATTCCATTTTTATAGACATTAGCTTAGGATAGAGACACTTCATTTTCAGAGACAGCTGATAAATCTTTCTGAAATTGGTTGATGTCCTTTTGCATGTAGTTATTGAAAGATTACTTTTGCCTGAAAACTGAATCACTTCCAAGTTTATTTTAGATCTCTTGAATGTATTGATTATAGTCAAATCTCTTCTGAGGAATCATATTGCTGGGTGAACCTTCCTGCTGTTGATACATCATTTATGGACCTCCAGAAACATAGGAAATATCTTGCTGATTTTATTACTAAGGATAAAAATATTGCGCCTACATTTATTCTGGATAAGGATTTTAAATCTATTGATCTGAGAACTATTAGTCTTGTGCATTGTGATTCAGATGATTGCATTAATTAGCATTAGTTTGGCCAAGCACATACTATCTAGGATCAATTTTCAAAGCAGGGCATGAACTGTAAGGAGGCACATTAACATCAGTAGCTCCTGCCTCTCTGTTAAACTTAAGCATTTGCAGCATTTTTTCTCTATGATCCAATTCATGCTCTAATTCCTCAGCTCTTATGTAGTCACTCTGCAAAATCGATCTTTATAAGTCTAGGTCCATTTTCCATTTTTCCAATTTTTCTCTCTCGTAATCATAAGTCTATTTTTCAATCATTACTTTGTCTCTTTCCTCAGCAAGCCTAAGTGAGGTATCCCTAATTTTCTTAGCCCACTCATCGAACTCCTTCCTTTCTCCTTCAAATTAGGATATTTTGGAATAATAGTCTTCCCAGTCCTATTTGATTACCTCCTTTTTCTTTTCTAAAAATCGCCACTTCTTACGCAGTTCTCCCTCCTTTTAAGAGAGGGCTTCCCTCCTTTCCTCAATTTTGATCTGAATGATCTAGATTTCTCTTAGGAATCGCTCTTTGACCTCGCTTTCAAAGTCATCTCTTTCCTTGTTAATTCTAGTCTTCATATTTTCACATTCATTTTCTTTGTTAGATAACTCAAGCTCAGCTATTCTTTACTTGGTCTTTCTCTTTTCATCTTCTGTAACAACCTTAGATTTCTCGATGCTTAGCAACTCTTTGGTATGTCTCTCCTCTTGCTTTTAACGTGAGAGCTCAATTTCATTGGAAACTCTGACCTACTTCCTGTGCTCTCTTAGTCTTTCCAACTCAGAGTTGAAATTTGATTTGTTTTTTAAGAGGTCCTCTTTCATTCGTTAAAGCCTCCTCTCCTCTTCTTCTATTCTTTTTTCCTCCATTGCAATCTCGATCTCCTCATCTTCTTGGACTTATCTCTCTTTTCTCATCATTTCAATCTCTCTTCTTTTGAGTTCATCTTCTCTTTGTTTAAGTCCAGCTTGGACCAATTCAGAGAGATTCTCTGTTCTCTATTAAACCTTATCTAAGGCTTCATGCAACTCTTACTATTGCTGTAATTATTCCTCCAAATGCGAAGTTTCCTTCTCTAGCTATCTCTTTTATTACTCCAGCTAGTTTTAATGCTGTCTTTCCTTTGACTCTAAGTCTGCTTAATGAAGCACTTCCATTTTTTGCTTCTCTCTTGCAATAGCTTCCTAAAGAGTTTCCATTGTCTTCTCTTTTTCTTATAGTATCAAATCTAATGTTAGCTTTTAAGATTCTTCTATGGAATCTAGATCTTTCTTTAGCTTGTCTTTGAATTCGTCCAGTTGCTTTTGCAAGTCATCTTCTTGCTTTTTAGATTTTTCCCTTTCACCTTTCAATTCTTATTCTAATAATTCTAATTCTTCCTATTTCTTTTTCTTAATGTATAGCTCTTTCTCCTCTTTTTCAGCTTTTTATTTATCATAAGAATCAAGACCAAGAGTCAAGCCTCCAACAATTCCTCCAGAGCCAGTAGGACCTAATGCTGCTCCTTAACTTCCTATAAATCCTAGATTTGTAGCGCTTGGTCTTGAGACAACGATATCTGTACTAAGAAATAGTGTATTGTGAGAGCCTTATACAATTTATCTGCCTCCATCATTTGAATTCTTGTCAGCTCCTCCAGATAAAGCTCCTCTATCTCTACCGAGTCCAGTCTATGGTCTTCCAAATCCAATATCCATAAAATCATTTTAATCTCTTCTAGGAGGAGACACAGTCTTTTCTGCTAATCCAGATAAGTTGTTTGAAACATTACCTCCCAGGCCAAGACCTAATCCTAGACCTCCTGCAGGTTAGTTCAAAGCTGTGTTTTGCCGACGCATATCTTATGAAGGTGCCATCTTTGACTTATCCTCTGATAAAAAGAGCCCGTAGTTAGTTGATTATGGCTTAGTCATTGTTGGTGGTTTTTGGCTTATGTTATCTCCCTATGTTTATTTAGCTGCCATTCTTCTAGAAGGGATACTTGTAGGCCCTTTATTTATATCAAGAGTAGGGATTGCTGATCCACCAATATTAGAAATTGCATCGAATTAAGACTGCCCCATAATATGACTTAAAGCATCGTCATCTCTCATTGAGCCTGCTTCAGAGTAAAGATTGTTATTATGACCAGAGATGGTATACTAGCCAGATAGCAAATTATTTGGAGGATCTGAGGTTTATGGTCTTCTTAGGCCTAACTAGTTATCGCTCTGCCTTGGTAAGCCCCCAAACCCAGTTGATATTTGATCTCTTATTCTTTCTTTCGACTCTGATCCACGGTTTCTCTAGCTCTCAGTGTCTGTAATAGGCGCTCTGAAACTTCCACGCCTGCTTCCAGGAGCATTTAAAGTCCCAATGTCATTTAAATCACCAAGGTCATTGCTATTTAGTTTAATGCCAAGGCCTCCACCTCCTCCAAGGCCAAAGTCGTTGTTAAAAAGTTGATTGTCATTGCTTGAGGGATTTCCCCACTGTCTTCGTTTTATCTAGGAGTGAGTATCGAATTCAGAGGGATCTGCCTCACTTCCTGTATAGTTACTCTTCAGACCACCGTAGGATTAGTATATTGGCGGTTGACTACTATTCCTTTATATCGCTCCAGATGGAGGTAATCCAGAGTAAGCCCCTCCTCCATGATGTCTATCCAATCCTCCACCTATTGATAACCCATCACTTTAAAACGGATCGTCTAGTAAAATAGATTGAGCCTTTGCCAAGGTATCTTTGATTCTATTGTTGCTAGTATTCGAATAGTCTCCTGCTCCGTAGTTTCTTCTAACTATAAAGATTCTAAATAACGAAGGAAATACTTACAGGGATCTGCCATTTTGAAATAATTCTTAAATTTAAATTGGCTTAATAATTTTCAAACTTAAATTATCTCTTTGCGAAAATAATACTCTCAATCATATAAGTTAAACTGCATTGAAGACTTTAAGTTAATAAGCATTGATATATTATATATTAATTAATAAAAGGTCAAAAGATATAAGAATGAGTTATATTAACCCAGAGAACGCTCTAAAGCACGCTTAGGAATTGAGACTTGAGGGAAACATGGATGGTGCCTTAGAGGAGCTCCATCAAGCCCTCCACGGCAAGAAATTCAAGGGAAACAACATTATTCTAGAGAGAATTATGGTAAGATTTGAATGTAACTAGTCTTATCACGTTATTATAGCTTGAAATGATTGACATATGCTCTGAAATTTTGTAAACATCCTACCTTAAGGAAGACATTGGTCACTTCAGAAATGTATGCCAGCACACTAACATGAGTCTCCTAGAAAACGTACTCAAGACACTCAAGTCTAAGACTGATTAAATCATCGCCAGAGTGGAAGAACAACAGGGAGAAGAGAAACTTAGATAGATATTAAGTGAGGACTCCGCCCAAAATTTGGCATTCTTGAGTGGAGATGGTGAATTGAACCCAGAAGATTTAATCGTGATGGCTAACTGCTAATACGAGCAAATTGAGGAAAAAAACAGAGTCATGCCAAGTGTTAACTTCTTCATTGACGTTTGCAAGATTATTCTTGACACTCTTAGACAAAACTCAAAGATGCTTGACTTCTACAATGCTACTGCCCAAAAGTGCTTTGAAATCTGCGCCAAGTACAACTACAAGTCTGAGTATCATAAGATCTCAGAGACTCTTCACAGTCACTTCAACCAAATTTTGAAGCTTTCAAAGAGTCCAGACGCCTAGATTCTCTCTAAAATCCCCTTCCCTGTCAAACTTGATGAGGAGGATGCTCTTTAAAAGGTACTTGAGCTCAGATATCAACAACTTAAAATCGCATTGAAAATGAGAGTGTGGTCTGATGCCTTCAAAACCTCAGAGAATATCTATTAACTAATCAACAGACAAAAGCATCACGCTTCAAGAATGAAGTAAATCTTGGCTGATTTCTTCCAAAATCTAGCTCTTATCTTCTGGGAATCTGACTTCTATCTCTTCCACGCTTACTCATTAATGAATCTTCAGCAAATAATTAAGTTGTCAAAGACCATGACTGATGAACAAAAAGCATAAATGAGCACTCAATTCGTCCTTGCTACTCTCTCAATTCCTCTAGATAACAAACTATCTAACTTCGAGAGACTCAGCGTACAATATGTTCCCCAAGGAATGAATGAGTTCTATGATGAATCAAGCCAAATAAAGAATGAGTTATTTGGAATCGCCAACATGCTTCAAGTAAAGGGTACTCCCTCAAGAAACAGTTTGATCAACTATCTTAAAATCAAGAATCTACATTTAAACACTCAATACCCACAAATTCAAGAGCTCTTCAGACTTATTGAAGAGGAAGAATCACCATTCAAGATCTCAACCAGAGGTAAACAAGTATTGGACGAGTTACTCTCAGTTAAAGATACTAACTGGGCTCAATACAAGGAATTCATTGTCAAGAGTCTTTCAGTGAGAATTCTCCAAAAGTGCAAGAACTACTTCAAAAATATGAAAATGGCAAGTCTTAGCAAACTTCTAGTCTTCTACGATAGATTTGAGTAAATTGAATAATTGCTCTTTGAATGCAATAACCAAAGTTTGATCTAAACTGTTATCGATCACAAGAGTCAGTCAATTACCTTCAATCAAGAGGTTGAAGTTGCAAGCAACCTTATCAAGTTCGGATTAAAGCTCAAGGATGCCTTCTAAAAAGTCCAAGGAGTAGTCTCAGAAGGCAAAGAAAGAGAGAGAATATTCATGAAAGTCAAGGAAAAGATGGAGTAAGAGATGAGTGATGTCCTCAAACGTAAAGAAGACATGCTCAAGATGAAGGATGATATTTAAAAGAACAAAGAACTAGAGAACAAAACTCTTCAAGATATCCTTTAACAACAACAATAAGAAAAGGAAAAGGAATTCAACCTTAAGAAAGTCAAGGAAGAAAAGGATAGACAAAAGAACAAGCTGCTAGACGAACTTGAACTAATGAGAAAAATCAGAGCTCAGGAAGTTCTTCAAGAACTTATAAGAAAAGGTATTAAGAAGATTAATGGAGTCAAAATCACAGATATGGAGAAGAAAGCAGAATAATCTGAGCCATTGGACTATGATACAATTATGAACTTCTATCAAAACTTGTTGAGAAAAGAAAAAGAGCACTTCGAAATTGAAAAGAAGAAGAAGCTAAAGGAAGTCGAATACTGGGCTAGAGCTTTGAAAGAAGAAGAAAAGGTTGCTATTGAGAAGTATTGCCAAGAGCATGGTGAAGAGGAAATGAAGCAAATTCAAAAAGCTATTTAGGATAGAAATGAAAGAGAACTCAAGCTTAAACTATCACTTGAAAAAGCTTTCCCAGTGTATCAGCAATTTAGAGAAGGTGTTATGTAAAAGAGAAGAGTTGATTTCGAAAAGAAGATGAATGAATTCATTGATAAGAAGGGCCTAGAAATTAAGTAGCAGGTCTTAACTGAAGCTATTGCTGAGCTCAAGAAAATTGATAACCTTAGAAAGGTAAAAGAAGCTGACATTAAAAGAAAGCAAAAGGATGAGGAAATCGCTGCAAAGAGAAGAGCAGAAGGTAAATTAGAGGAAAAATTAGAAGAAGATGGAACAATTGGTATTGGTTGGGGTAGAGCTAAAATACAACAACCAGAGATCGTCCCTAGACAAGGGGCTGCACCAAGAGAAGATGGAATTTTATCCAGATAAGTGTTCGGTTAGGGTAGAGTAGAGCCAAAAGAAGAAGAAAGGAAAGAAGACTCTAAGAGACCTACTTTCACTAAATAAAAGAAAGAAGATGGAGAAGTTGGTTTCATAAACAGATCTGCAATGGGCACACAAAAGGCTGAAGAGACCAAGAGCACACTCCCACCAAAGAGAACTTTTGGAACTGAGGAATAAAAATCAACTGCTCCAAGTACTGGAGGTCCAGCCTGGAGAAGTTAAAACTCAAATGCACCAGCTACCTAAAAGGACACAGGCACTAGCTTCCAGAGAGGAAATGCCCCAGCACCTACTACATCCTCAGGATTTTCTAGAGGTTCAAATTAGACTCAATCATCATAATAGACAACCAGTAAGCCATAGACACAAGCTAAGCCAGCTGAAAAGAAAGATGAAGCTGCTGGTGGCTGGAGAACAACCAAGAAATGATGAGGTGTTTCATTCTTTATTAATTAACTTTAGTTACCTATTTAGTAATCTAAATACTTGTATGTAAATCTGTTTGTTTGTATCTTGCTCGCAATAATTTCATTAAATCTACATAATCTTTTGAAATTAGCAAAGAGGGGTTTTGGGGTTTTGGGGTTTTGGGG